ACAGTCCATGAAACATGGTGTCCACTGTGTCCCAAGATGGAGGTGGCCTTCTCACCCAAAGGAGCAGTGGGATGTATTTCCTCCAAGGCTGCAACTTCTCAAGTGGTTTAGGTGGTCAGCTTCCTGGGCTGACTGCTCTGAGACACCCCGTCTCATCATTCCACAATACAAACTTAGGTCACCTCCCATTCCCAAACACATGGATGCCCTCTCTGATTGACCAGCCCCATGCACAAAGAACCTCTGCTGCTGAACACAGTCTTTGTGAGATCCCCCTCCCACAAGCCAAGCGCTCAGCTCGGGGAAGCAGCAGCAGCAGCAGCTCTGCTGGTGGCACTGGCCAGCAGCTCTGGTGGCACTGGCCAGTCCATGCACAGAGGGGCAGATGCAGTGGCAGAACCCTCACCTTTAAGAACTGTGGTGTGACGAGACGGACAGTTGCTACAAGGCAGATCTGCTCCTCTGTGGCTGACCTGAAAGCTCGTGCAATAGCTGACTCAAAGCCATTACAGGAGGGTGTAGGCACTAGACACAACCAGACAATTTATTTAAGAAGAGGAAGGAGAGTTTTCTTTTCATGTTAAGACAGGTACAATGACTGATGAAACCCAAGCAACAAACTCCTCCTCCCCACCGGGTGATGCCACGCTGATGTTATTTAAAGCATGACCCTTTAGGCTCCGAGTCATGCAGCTGTAACCACCTACCCCTGGCTTGCAGAGCAGCTTCCTAAGACAGTTCTGAGCAGCTCACAGCGTACACCCACAGTCTCCTTGTCAGCCTTTCTCCAGCTCAACAATTGCAAGATTCAAGATTTTACAGGTTTTCCAAACTCTTAAATCTTTTAAAAGTGTCATTTGATTGCCACATAGAAACAGAATAGCATATTTACTGGTTATTTGAATAAGTAGGCTGCTTTACAGTTCGCAGGGGGTCAAACAGAGGTAGGATCAGTCTGGCATCACTTCTTTAAGCACAGCATGCAGAAGAATGCGTTCTTCTGACCAACAGCCTCCCCACCACTTTTATAAGAAAACTATCTCAAACATATCCCCAGCTCCCTGTCGATTACAGGGCATTTTTAGCTGAAACAAAACCTTTAGGAGGCTACAGAACACCACAAAATTTAAAGGAGAGGGACAGACAGGTAAAGGTAGGCTGCAGCAATTACTTACCATGAGTAAAATATTTAAAATCCACTACAAATTTCACATATTCATACATCAGAGGTTCATTTGGATCTAAGCTGCCTCTTGCTAAATGGCAGCAAAACTCTATTTGTTTTTCTGCTGCAATGAGAGAAAGAGAGTCATACACAATGTTATTAGAAGTCTGCACTTTAGCACCCTCCATATATTGAACCCAACCCTGCGCTGGGATGATCTTGATAGCCCTAAATAAATATATAACTACTAGAAGCAACAATCAACTGGTTCTGCTTAATGGAATAGATCCTCCCCCCTTCTCCTATGGCTTTGCAGCCACCCCGCCAGGCTGGGCACAGAGCCCTGGCAATATTGATCAGTGGTATTTTCCTCTGACTTCGTCCATGCAAAGCTGCTAAGTGATATTGCAGCACTCTGCTCTGGCACTGCTCAGCAGGACCCTGACCCAAGGGGCACTGAAATCACCCTGAGCCTTTCCATCAGCAGCGGAGGGCACTGTGCCAAGCTCTGATTCAGTTTTCTGCCCAAGACCCGAATGCCACGGGTTAGACCACACGGTCTTCAGCTGGAGGGAACCAACCCCAGGGCAGAGCACCACCACAAGGGCTGCCTGCTTTCCACTGAGGTGTGTGGGCGGCAGAGAGGGGAGGCCAGCACTGCCTGGCCCCAGTGAACCCCTCAGGAAGGAGGCGTTCCAACACAGGCTTAGTGAAATGTGGGTGTTAGGAAGACAATGCTGCTCACTCTGGTGTAGGGGATGATTTCTGGAGGAAAGGGACATTTTGGAGGTAGGAAACAGCCACTAGTAAAGATCCAGAGTGTTCAGATAGGAAGGCTGTTCCTTAAATTACACGTAGGGCTTTGCAGGACTTCTGAGATATGCAAGCTTCCTTAAGGGACAAAGACTCTGCCAAAACCTTTTGGGATTTCTCCTACCATTTTCCTTCCCCCAAGCCCCTCACCCCTTTCACAGGCTCAGTCCAGCATCCTGCCCTGGGAAAAACATTTAATGAAGGCAACTTCACTGCCCTATGATGCAAAGCAGCCAGCAAAACAAAGACTACCCAAATCAAAGACCAAGCACTGCAAGCATGTACAAACATTAGATCCTGTGCTGCATTAAACCCCAGAAATACTACCTGAAGCAAAGCAGAAGCAGCAGGCTAGAGAATCAGATAGCTGGAGAACCCTGTGCAGGCAGCCCCAGGAGCTCTTTGCCCTTGGTAAGTCTCCCTGGCTAGCAGAGAGGAGCAGAGCTTACCGTTCAGAAAATCAGCTGCAACAGGCTCTGTCATGAGCACGTGTGGAGAAAGGAGCTTGTACACCTCGCTCTGCTCCCGCTCAGGCAGAAAGTTCAATATATTTTGGTCCACCAAATCTGACTGATACAAGAGAATGCTTTGTCATGTTCAGCAGTACAGCCTGACACAACCACCTGCCTTTTTATCCCACAGCAAAGCACAGATGCTGCTGGTCTAGTGTGGATGCTGAAGACAAAGAAACCAATCTGCAGATGGATCCAGGGTAGAATATAACCCTCAGGTTATTTTACCTCAGGGTTGCTACCTATTTGAAAAAGGTTGAATAGGTTTCAGAGGTTGCCCTTCAATTCACCTAGATGCAAGCTGGAGAAGAAACCCTGGTACCACAGGAATACAACATGATGAGAAGTACCATATCAACATGAAAATTTGAAATTTTTCCCTCTGGAAGCAAGAGACAGAAGTGGGAGAACTCCTCCTCACATCCTCCATTTGTCTTCTAGGCTGAACACCTGGTAAAATCAGCTCAATCTGCAAGTGTTTCAGTACTGATAAACTCACACACCCAGACTAATGGGGTTCTACCAAGATGTCAGCTCATATTTGTTTCTTTGCAAGCCAGGGCATTCAACCAGGTTAACGATGTGCTGTCATACAGCATCATTTGTGCCTCACGATGGCACCAGATTAAAAAAAAAAAAATACTTTTGAAGGGCTAGCAGAAATTTCTGCACATAACTAACTGATTTCTAGAATTCCTCCTAGAAAACTCTGAGGCCACATACGTGTTACTAAAGACCATAGACTCAAAGCAGAAAACCCCAATGCCATTAGAAAATAATAAATTCAGTCCTGAAATAATCTTTAAATTATCTGAGAAGAGCTTCAGCATGCATAGGTTTCAGAAGCATGAGATTTTCCATGTACCTGGTGGGATAAACACCACCCAGCCCATCCTCCAGGCTAGAAGCCAAGTGGTGAGCTACAAGTACAGTGATTTTTGGTAGGGTGTTTTTAGCTAACCTGAAGACCCTGAGAGAGAATCTGTTATTCACGGAGATTGAAAAACTCCCTAAGAGTTTCTTGGTTTATCCAACAGTGATGGGGCTGCATGAAGGCAGGGAAATGATTCTTAAACATGTTGAGCTGTCAGAACTTACCGGTAAGTGTCCAAGCAGAGATGAAACACTATCAGATACATAAATAATAATCCCATCAGTGGTAAGAGCAATGAGAAAGCCATCTAGTGCCTAATGACAAAAGGCAGGCAAAAAAGAAAAAAATGAAAATAATTATGCAAGGGAACAACTTAAAATGTAATAGGCTAGTTAATGGTGATGCTTCTAACAGCCTAAAACTAACATCAATCAATTATGGAAATGGTATTTCAATGTGGAAAAAGAAAAATTACACATGCTCTCTAACTCAACCTTCTTCTTCTATTCTTATTTGCTCGTTAATATTAAATTGACTTGTATTTTTCACCCAGGGAGTATTCATTTAACATGAAGCAAGACACTGATGGTTAGAATTTCTACACCCACACAAGGCTAGTGACTTCAGTCACTTCATTATATGTTCTGAATTACACAATGATTAACCAATTTAGTGTGTAAGGAGATGTTGGACATCATCACAGCAAACCCAGCACTGTGGATGGATGGATGGGTAAGTAGAGATAGAAAAATTACACAACACTTTTTTTTTAGCAATTTATAGACAAGATCTAAAGCCTTATTTATTTTACTTAAAGCACTCACCACAACAATTTTAACTTTTTATTTTTGTTTCCCCTTTCATATTCACAATGGTTTCTGTCCCAGCTTCAAAATTCTCTGTCCTTTTTAAGTCACTGCATATGCTCTCCTTTTTGAGTGTTCCCCTACACTTTACAACATCTCCTCACATCATTGATCTAGGATCTGTCCCTGTTCTTCTCTGTTGCCAAGATCTAGGAGGTTTATCTCTGTGGCCAGCACCACGCACAAAGCCAGCTCTTCTAAAGACACTGTTGGGCTGCTCTTCTGAAAATGAGCCCTCTCTAGAAAAAAAAGTAAACTCGTCAATGGTCTACAATAATCCAGCAAATGGCTTTCTGTCCCCCACCACGTCAAAGGGGGGAGTTTATTTTGATTCAGCTGGAACAAACTAGCTTGTTTGGTGAGAGAAGATTCCCAGAAAGAATGAACAGAATTTTCCGGGGAGGTGACTCATGACATCCTGATGAAAAGGAATAACTAAGACACTGCAACACCTCCCAGCTCAGCCCAGCATACACCCTTATTTTGGTGGGGCAAAGAGCAACAGCTGCCCACGTAGGGAAAGAGGAGCATGCAGCACAAACCCAAACCTGCATCCTGAAGAAAGGAAAAACGTAGGAGGTTTCTAGATCAGCTAAGTATTTTAGAGGTGAGAGTGTCAGAGTGTTCTCCTGGATGCTCTTAAAGGCAATCCAAGGAAAAGATGCAGGGTTCACATCACAAGCAGAGCACTGCACAGCCAGCAGCAGCAGCAAAGGCAGCAAAGCAAATGCTGCCTGGCTAATGGGACGTGGGAGGAAGAGCTGCTCTGCTTTTTTCAGGTCCTTTCAAGTTTTTGCTGAGACTGCTAGCTCTAGCAGCTCTTCTGAGAAGGGCAATTCTTTTTTTCCTCTCTCACCAGGGCACATTTGTCTTCATTCCTAAATGAAAAACTGTTTATCTTGAAGTAGGAGCAATGATATTTTTAATGCTGTGTCTGCAAAGCATTTAGCACAATGTTGGTCTCTGTCAGGTTTGTGTTGTATGTGCCAGCAGAGTAGAAATCACTCACACTAACATTGGGACCTACAGGTGAAAAGGAACTACAGATCTCTGAACTACTCCACTAAACTGATTGCTTCTCACTAATCTATGCAGCTTTAATTTCTTCTTACCTCTAACATCAACTGGGTGAACTCCTCGTTGCTAAGAAATGAAGGCTTCCAGTCTTGTCTAATCTCACAGGCTTCTGTCTGTGCTGTGATTTCTTAAAGAGAAAACATCAAAAAGCAACATGACTCATGCTAGTTGGATGGGTTTTTTTTTCATTTTCAAGTAACACTAGGTTTCTTTTAAGAGGCTTTCAGAGGAATCATCCTCAGATCATTCTCCACACAAAGTCTTCTTGTATGAAACGTTTTCCACACCATCACGACAGAAATGCATTGGAAATCAGGAAAAGGGAGAGGAGATACTTTGGTCTGGAGAAATCCTTCAAAAATTATGGTCAATGGAGTAGCTCAGCATCATCGTAAGCAGAGGGTGTTTGTGACTCTGGAGCCTTTTCAGGAAGGCTCACAGGAGTGCCCAGGCAGCAGGACAGGCTGTACCAAGCCATCTCCTACCCCAGGAGATGTGGGAACAGGGGTGGAAACCCCTTTCCCCTGGCTTTTGCAGCACATGGTGTCCTCCCTCACGCTCCATCTGAGACCATGCAAGGTGTCCAGGGGATGTGGAGGCCAGGAAGGGAAACAGAGCCTTGTCACTACATTACAAAGCACACAGCACTGCACCTTCTCAAGTATAGTTCTCTTTAACTGGTCAGCACTGTATTCAAAACCAGCCCATTTTCTGAGACCAACTGCTGTGCCCCACTCTGCCCCACACTTAAGTTCACGTTCTCTCTGGCAGTCTTAGATGCTTGGGAAAACCAGTTTTCATCTTCTGAGTGGAAACTGTCTGCTGGGCAGATGCAGAGCCAGTGCCTTCCGCAGGAGCAGGCCAGTGACTCCAGCAGGAGCAGGCCAGTGCCTCCCAGTACCTTTCTGTTTCTGTAAGAAGTCAATGGTCCTCTGCAGTATGGTGGACTTGTCCATCTTGAGAGGGTGCCCGTGGCCCTGCAGCATCGTGCAAAGCTCTTTAATGAGGACATTGAACTGGTCTCTCCTCTTCTTTTCAGATTTGTTGCGTGATGCCCTGGGTGGCAGAAACATAAATGCCATTAAGTAAAATGGCATTAACCTACAGCTCAATCCAGGGAGAGGGAGATGGCCCTGCCCCAGCAAAACACTTGAAACACAAGAATCTAAAACCTGCTGGGACTGCTCATTTGTTTAAAATTAGGCTCGAGTGCCTTGCTGATGCTTAAAGCCTTGCAGCAAGACTGAACTCACCATCAGCAAGGAACACTTGGAGGCAACAAATATGATTTACAGTCATTTGAGCAAGACTATTCACAGTTCAGTAGCAGTTCCCATTGTTTCCAAAGTGGTGATAACAAGGTGAAGGTGTTATGGGCAAAACCTCCCTACTAAAAGAAGTCCTGGCACCTCCACGCTCACATTTTGCTCACCTCATTTTTATGAACTTTTGTTTTGCTGTTAGTGCACGCAAATATAAAGGTCAAAATGTGAAGGATTCCTCATTCCCTGAATTGTACTTGCAAAAATAGCTTATCAAGAGACAACACTGTGCAGAGACAACTCGCCTGCAGAATAAAGTCAAGCACATGCTCTTGTATCTGGTTTTGAAAATCTGCTGCCATGACATAATGAAACTGGGAACACTGAGAGCCTGGCTGTGGAAAGCACAGACTAGTTTCCAGCTTGCATTAATACAACTTAAGAATATCTTATTAGGGCTTTCCCCTCCATTAAAAACAACAAAGGAGAAAGCAAATCCATTCTGTTCCTTTCAAAATGTTCTTTCCAATGCTCCTATCTGAGATAACCCTATTTTCATACAAGCTCTTCCAACAGTAATTAATTTTCTTTACAAGTGCATTCCCATGTGTGTGATAAGCAGCAAGTATTCCCATTCATATTCAGGTTGGCACTTGGAGGTTCTCAGATCCAGCACTGACGTTCATCTCTGTTTTGGCACTCGTGCACGATGACTAATTAGAACTGAGCCAAATTCTTCTCTGAAAGGAGACTCTCTCATACCTGTGCTAAAGCAGGACTGCTCTCTAAGTTTCACAGGAAACATTACCCCCGGTGGGCAGCACTGCATGATGCCAATAAAATCACAGGTCAGGAGTCCTGCATCAAGATAATAAATAGCCATGGGATAACATGAGATTCTGAGGGCACAGTAATGTTATTTAAGGACCACTCAGCTGATTAACCCATTACAGGGGTGGTCAAACACACTATGAGAAGCTTGAAAAGGGTGACTTTAAGCTGTTTTGGATCTGCTGTACACAGCTTGTAAACTGCATGGGGGGTTTGCCTCTGCCATCAGGGGTCCCAAGTACTTTTTCAAGCATTGGACAACACAGCATTTACAATTCTCCCCCGAGAGAGCTTCCACTCTGAGTGCTCTGTGCATCCCTTCATACCTCTTTGCCCTGTCCTTCTCATCTTCATCCATCAGTTCGTTTACACAGCACAGGGCTCTGGAAGGAAAAGACAGAAGTACTTACTGAGACACGTTCCCTGACCTTGTTGAGGATGTCAGAACTGACATATGACCTCCTGGATACTTCAGCCTTCCCTTTCCCAAACTCCACTCTCGTCATGTAGTTTCTTGCTTGTTCTGTCAGCTACTGAGGCTCAAGAAGTAAAACCACTGCTATACATCCAAATACATAGCTACAACAAGCATAGCTTTAGAGGGAAAGGGCTAAAAGCCAGCAGTCCCTCAACCTGCCCTTGCCCTCCCCTCTGCCACAGGATGGGGAACGCTGCTGAAGCACTGAACTCTGCACAGGAATCAGCATCCTCTGCAAATATGAGAGCTGAATACAGATGCTCACGTCTGTACCAGGCAGCACGGCACCTAGTCCTGTTTTGGGAGATCAAACAGGCTGCTGGTTGATTTTAAGCATTGCAATGATTGAAAAGCATCTGAGATTTCTTTCCCAGTGGAAGGGCATAGGAGAAAGAAGGAAACTGTGCTAATCCCCCAAGGGATTAGTATTTGACAACAGCAGGGTTCTATCAGGACATCTAAGAGATGGTATGATAGGTTCATCTGAAGCATCCTGCAGCCAATGACTGACTGCTGCTTGCATTGGTGGACTTCTACTACATCATCTGAGCTGCATCCTACCACTGGGATTCACACTCAGGATTTCAGGTTAAAACTTTCTCACCTGGCACTAACCAGAGAAAAGAAGGGAACGTGCCCTGGGTTCCCTGGGCTCTAAAGGTTCCTGCATCACAACAGTCATTGTGGGCTGCTGTCTTTACTTACTGCAACGGTTCCTGCAGCTCAAGGAAGTTGGGAACAACTCCCAGTATGGACACAGCACACTCAAGTCCCGTGAAATGATGCAGAATTCAAGACAAGTGTAGCTTCTTACTGGTGACTTGCTTTCTGGGACTCAGATGGACTAAGTCCTAGGCATGGGGAGCCAGACAGATGCAGGCAAGCCAGTGGCCATCACCCCATGCTGCATCACCCAGGTCAGCTCTGCTGGGCTGCACCCACCTCAGGCACCTGTTCCCACCATTAGCACCACTCTGCCTCCATCTCTAGCAAGAACTTCCCCTGGAAAAACCCAGGGTGGGACCCTGTCCAGCATGCAAGGGGCATTTTCCAACAGGTACTGCAAATGTTTTTCCCTGCTTTGAGACTACTCCAGACTCAAACAACTGGGTAGCTGTGAAAGTAACATGAAATAAAATCACCCACAACTGATAGGAAGTCAAAGATGCTGCTTATAGTAAAAGCTACAAAAATTCACCCTTCCTTTCCAGGGCAAGGATCTCCCTCCTTGCAGATGAAGCTGGGCAGAAGTCCAAAAATCACGTGAATCCTGTTGTTCCAAAATACAAAAGCCATCCATGGGATGGGGAGGGAGTGGTTCTCACTGTCTGAGTCACTAAAAGCTACAAGCCCAATTAGAAATTACCTGATCTATTCCTCAGATTCATCAGTCCAGACTGACGGAGTGGGATTAGCACTGTTTGTTTGTCACCACGTAAATAGAGACAGCGAAAAATTAATCCTGGAAGGAAAAGCAAATCCAGTTAAAACACAGTTGCAGGCAAGACTTAGCCTAGAAAGCAGCAATCACTTCAGGATGAAAAAGTCTACCCCTGTAAACTAGAAACATGCTCAGCTACAACTGGTGAAAGCCCCATCCCTGGGGACATTCAGGACCAGGCTGGATGAGGCTCTGAGTATCTTGATCTAGTTGAAGATGTCCCTGCTTATGGCAGGGGGGTTCAACTAGGTGACCTCTGGAGGTCCCTTCCAGCCCAGACATTCTGTGATTCTATGAAAGCTCGGCAAAGCCTCCAGGAAAGGGAGCTGGGCCATGTTCTGGGGCTCCTGGCTCTGTGTGCACCCCCTGCTGCCACAGAAGAAGTCTGTGGCCAGGCAGAGTGGAGAAATGGCCCTTCTAGTTTGGGGCCACTGAGGATCAAACGGAGTCCTTCCAAAGTACAACAGTATACAACCAGTCAAGCATGAAAACCAGGGAGTAAGATACATATTCATCTACCCAAACTTGCAAATGAAAACCTCCTTTGAGATGAACATGATCAGGGAAAGTCAGTGAAAGTCACAACCACCCACCTATGGATGGGTTTAAAGCCTCCCATTACGATTTGCTGCTGCCAGGACACACATCTCCTTTTTGTTTGCAATTTAAATGGTTACTAATTACCACCCAGCACTCTGGCCTATACTCACACCACAGTGCTCACCCCTCCAAAATCACTGCTGTGCAAACTCTTTTGGCTTCAGCTCAGCCTCATTCTCAGGAAGGACACAGACGCAACCATGTCCACGACTTACTGTAGCATCTTCAACAGCAGCCACGTGCTGGGCTCCAAATTCAACAAGCTTTTAGTGCCCTTGGAGTGACCTCCTTATTTGCTAAAAAAAATTGGCTCAGATAAAGTGTGATACAGTCATAAACAGTAATATGGAAGCTACTTGCAAGAGGCTTGAACCTCCTGGCACAACAGAAGTACAAGAGTAACATATAAAGCACCCAGTGTGTTTCAGTTGTAAGAGAATCAATAAGAAATGCAGTTGGGATGAAGTGATCTTTTTCAGTTTGGAACATGAACTTCAAGAGAAAAATCTCATGTAACTCTTGTCATCCTGCAACTGAAAGCAACACCTGTGTAGCAAGTTGTAGCACAGTGGATCTGCTATGCTTCTGTTCTCACAGTCATCACATGCTGGTCAAGTTACAAGCTTTTATCTTATTTCAAAAGGAGCGTGTGATCTTATTCGTACCCCATTGAGCTATCGTGGGATGGAGGTGCTTACCTCAGTCACTGCTGCTCATCGGCCAGCGCTGGTCTATCTGAATCATACAGCTGTGTCCCTTCTAGAAGAATGACCCATACAAAAGTTTTGCTAAACTGCAATAATTTCAGAGATACATAGTGCCAAGGATTAAAGATGAACTTGCCTGGAAACTCTTACACGAGTACAGGCTCTAAGGTGGAGATATGTGAGGAGCGGGCACTCCTGCACAAGTCCAGGCTCCGCGGTGGTGATAAGGGAGGAGCTGGTGGCCCAAGCAGAGGCAGGGCCGACCAGATCTGCTCCCCTGACTCCAACAGAGCATGTGCACGGACAGGGTCAAATACCACTCAGACACTTTATGGGGGTACCTGATCAAAACAACCACTAAAGACCTCATGAAACAGCCCCTGCCTCATTTCAAGAAGATTCTTGAGTCTACAATATGCATGCACAACTTAGAGACTATCCACCAAACCAGACACTCCCCCAGAGGAGGACAAATCTCTATGAAAACTCAAGACACGAAAGAAATGGGTTGACCATCACCTATGGACCAGGACCTCAACTCAAGACAATGCCACTGGATCCACCAGAGGATTTCCTTCCTCTTAACTTTCTCCTCTCTTTCTTTTCTCTTCTGTCTTACTTTCTAACTCTCTTGTACTCATTTTTATTGAGATTATTAAGACAAAGAAGTGCCACATTTTTTAGCCTTAGACTGAAAGTAAGGAAACAAGTGTTTGACCTTTACCCACAACGCTTACTGACTATCATTAGGAAGAACCAATAAGGAGTGTTATATTGTTTTCCGAGTCATTGGTGGCTCCACCACCTCTGTGGCCCTGCCATGCAGGGATAGCCCAATTTCAAGGGATTACATAGATTTACCTCCCTCATCACCCACTGTCTGCGACGAGACATATAGGCATAAAGAAAACTATTATTATAGCAATGGGTTAAATCACAAAAAATGCCTGAGAATAAGCAAACAGATCTATCACAATTTTTCAGGAATAATTTTTTCTATATGGGCTTAAGCATGCAAAAATCCAGCCAAACAAAAGGACTCCTCCCAAACTTTGAGTGTGAAGCTTGATGCAGAAACCTTCACACTACCTTGCCCATAGGTTGTCTGACAACTGAAAATTCCCAGGAAGCCTGGCAAGTTTTCTGCCTTGTACGTATGGTTGTTCTCCCAGTCAGCTTGAAGAGCAGTAAGCTGAGGGAAGTTGTTTGGTCACCGAGGAAGACAACAGTCCAGTAAATGCTCACCGAGTCTATACTGGAAAGAAACCCCAGATTCTCCAGTCTCCAGCAGCATCCATCGCATCCCATTTTTTGGACGTCTGCTGCAAGGGGCAGAGGAATGAGGCTTCCCAGGTCAGTCCCAGCAAGACACTCCTAATGAATGCCCTAATGAATGTCCCCAATCAGTACCAGACTTCAAGGTTGTAAAAGAAAAAATGGCCATAAAAGAATTAACAGGTCCAAACACAACGAGAACCTTTTTGCATGATGCAGCAGGATGGTGAGCTACAAAAAGTCTTAGTAGAAGACACCTAAGGACAAACTATTCTTAACCGGATTAAGCACTTCAGGACTACATTTAGCTAAGTGCTTTTTGTCTTGTTATGAGCCAGAGCCAAATATAGCAACCAGAATACTTAAGAATAGTTTCATAAGGGTTGTGTACACTCCTCAGCAAGGTAAGGCACTTAGCACTACTGCCAGCAGTATGTCTGCATGGTAAGAGTATTTTAAATAGATCCAGATAGAATCTCTTTGACCTTAACTGTATTAACCAGAAGGATCAAAATTTATTTATTGCCTCCTGAAAATCCCCTCCTATAACACTTGGAGGGAAGGATTCCTGAACTCTACAGGCAGGTAAAGGGAGCGGACGCTTGTTAGTGCTGCTGGCATCATCTTCCACCCATCTACAACAGGTGAGGATCAGCTTTCTCAGAAAGAAATGCACATCCATCATTCCCTAATGCCCTCTGTGAAGGGAAAACGTTTTTTCTTCCCTTGCACAGGGAGTCTCAAAAACACTCACGGCATTTTAAGGGCAAGTTATATTTTAGACTGTTCTTGTAACACAGTATGTGAAGTTGTTTCCACGGCTACGGAAAAGGTAATGTAGTAGGACAGCCTTAACAAGACAAATG